ACAAGTGTCCGTTTGTTTTCATAAAGGAAACTACTCACAAGGTTGCCGAAAGCTCTCCGACAGCCCACGACCGGTTTCGCCCTTCTTAGGGCCCATCAGATAGGCGCACTCCCCGAGTTTCGGTCAACCATATGTTCTACTTGAACTCAAATTGGACTGTTTTTGAGAAATACACTAATTTGCAAACTTCCATTCAGTTGGCTCTCTCGAGAAAAGCCAAATTGATTTACAAATGAATGTAGTTCTCGAAAAGTGTCAGTTTGATTGCTGAGGTTTAAGTGGGCAGTGAGATTTTTTCAAGGATACTCGGAGAGGTCTGGGACCTTGTAAGTTTCATGAAGCTCACAAAGGATGTGCTCCATCTAAACCCTCATTAATCTTAAATTTCATTACATAGCAATAAAATATATACCATCTTTTTCTGCGTCAATATTGGGGTGTTTTCTAACGGGCCTCCCTTAGAATTTTATTCTTATGTCAGGATTGGGCTTCCATCTTTTCCAGCATTAGAAAATCAGTGTGGGGCAAACTCTTCGATGGGTTTGAGTAGGCATGGTTCGTTGAAGGTTATCCGTGACTGTAGTTAGGCTACAATCTCTTACTCCCAACATTCCTTAGTGCGATGTTCCAAATCACGATGCCATTAACCCATGGAAACATAAGTAAGTTAATGAAAAATACATCAGTCATTCTAATCTAAGAAAATCTCGGGTTGTTGTCAAATGGATGAGACCGAGCAACAGCTGACTCTCAAATCATTTTGAGGTCAAATGGATGACAAAATTATTGAGTCTTTTTATGCAGGGGATTGAGGCAGTCGAGAATACGAGACTAAAGGTGATCGATAGATTTTAAAAGACAGAGCTTGAAGAGGGCCATTTTGCTAACGAATGTTCTTAGAAATTCTCGGTTAAACTGAAGGATATAAGGATTTGATAACCGGCGTCCAGCAGTGGGGATCTTATCTACTGAGGATAATTTAAAGCAACGCAAGAATGAAAAAGAGCGAAGTTTACTTTTACTTTTTTGCTTGTAGCTGTTTTTAGTATTAACTTGTCCCTTCTTTCTTTAACTTAAGCTCAGGTTACTCCGCCATTCTCGTAAAACTGAAGAATGGTTGCGACGTAACAGTGAATGAGTGAGTGATCGGTGATATAAAGCGAACAAGCAGGTAGGCCGGTAACTTATGTGTTAGCTACTTACTTTTGCTTGTTTTTCTCCGTTGTCTGATTACAGAAACGCCGAAAATACTAGTAGTTAGCTCACTCCAATGAGTTTCCAACCTTTTTTGAAAGGCCTTCTCCGAAGTAGCTTCAAGCTGGATAGTTTATTGCATTTGGAAAGTGTTTGATGTGGCAAAAAAACTGAAGAGTAGCTTCTTACGTGTGTGTGAACGGAACGCATAGCTTTCTGATTTGCAGTAAAATTGCGAATAATGGAGAATTTTGTGGGCAGGTACAGGGTTGTCTTGATGCCTTATAACCTTTGTATTGTGAGATCAAACCAACGCCTTTTGCATCCGAGAAACCTGGTTCAAGTCAATTAGCCAGTCCATTAATTCGCTTTTTCCACAGTCTCCAGAAATTCAAGCGCGTGCGCTTCTAATTTATCGGAGAAAATAAATAAAGTCAAGGATCGTGTTATCTAGACAGTAGAGAAGATCCAAAATAGACGAAAGTCTCGAAGCAGTGGTAACGGTGTTTGAATTATGTGGGGACGAAATGGCGATCTACAGGCTCTAAGACAAAGGTCGAACCTACCCATTATCTGGCCCATGCACAGAAAGAAAGGTTAACTGTACGTTTTTTGTTTGAAAGACCATTTACCTACAGCACTCAAAGTCTCGTGGAGTTAGCTATGAGCTTCTTACTATGGTCCCGCACCTTCATTATCTGTGAGGCAGTTGATGTTCAGCAGACCGGGGGTGTGATCGGTAAATAGTTTGAAGGTCCCTGCTAAGAAATCTGAACGTTTATGGATTCCACAAAGTCCGAAGTGAGCATCTTTTAGTCAAAGCAAGTTGTGTGAGCTTTCTAGTATTTGTCGATCTAGAAGCAGCTAAACACACACCAGAAGAAGCAAGATATTGGGCAAGAGTTATTTAAATACTTCTTCCAAAAGCATAACAACGTCTACAGAGAAGCGGAAGCTCACGCGTCTCCGTGAGTACTGCTGGGACATACTCAGCTGCAGGAAATTTCAAAACAATGGACAGAAGCTTTTTGAAGCCCGCCCAAAATCTCACTTAATTGTCAAAATATTGCCTTCAGTGTGCCTGTGACTAGTCGTTCAACCATAATAAAGTGAGGCTAGGTGAAACATGTCGGTCGTTCTACAAAACCCTAACATGCAGCATCATGGAAAGTGGTTTCAAAAGTTGTAAGCCTCCATCAGGGGAGGAGAAATTAAATTATAATGATGTGACTGCTCGTAAACTTGCAGAAGTTGCGATAGGGAGGTCTATTCGAAACGTGCGGTTTCATCGAAGGTTCTTTATGTTTGAAAGTTAGAAAGTTTTCTGGTTGTCCGATTTCGGTTTTGAAACATATGTGGCGACTTTTTTAAAGTGTAGGGCTGTGGCATTTCCGGGTAAGCCTCCGTTTTAGGTGGTCTGGAATCAAGTTTAGCCAGAGCGACCAAGAAATCTAACAAGCCAGTGCGGCTTGGGATGTTCGGAAGCTATTCTTCCTAAGCAGCAGTTTATTCGGCCACCTGATATTGTACCTGTCATTTAGTTGACCTAAACTTGTTGATGCCTGGCTTTTCGGCTTAGACCCTCCATAAACTGACGAGGCCTCAGCATGCCTACTTCCCTGAAGCGTCATAGAATTTTTTGGGCTCTCAAGTCTAGGAAACTTTTACCAGCCGAAGGGTGATGCCAGGACCTCTGGGAAGGCAAAACAAAGTTGGAGCTGGGTTTCTATACGGTACTCATAACGCAAGACATCAACTCACAAAATGTACAACCGTTGACTTTAGATGCTCGTCCACAACAAATGGACTACAAAAGTACCGACCGACGTGTAAGCGCGCTTTCCCGTAAGACGGTCACGCGTGTATGAGGCCGGCCACAAATAAGCTGGAAGACCTCAGGGTCAAATGTGTGATGTGGTGGGGACAAACAAACGCCAGTTCGTATACACGCACTAAATACAAAAGTGGAGCATGGTTACAAGTAGGGCTAGAAGAAACGTCGAGAATTTTAGACGTCAAAGTGACTCAAGGCCAGCAACCATCTCCGTAGCAGCTGGTTGGACACGCTCATTGAGGGGTTCGTCCTTCTTGCGTCCTGATTAGACAGCTTGGTTGGCATGTTCAAGAAGCTGTCTGACATAGGCCTGGTAGAAAATTTGAAAGTCCACTCAAGTAATACGCGAAAAGGTGCACCAAATCATCCGAAGAACGGCGAATGCTTTTGAGCGAGTTTCTCGTGATTCAGTGAGAAGAACATGCTCAAAGAGGGCCAGATACCCAAATCATTTTGGCATCTAAGTGATATCTTTTGGTCTATTCTCACGATGCACAACCAAACTTTCAATGGGTCTCCCCCGATTGATATAAGAACGCACTAGTTGCCGTTCAGGGGAAGGTGCCAACCAAAAGACCACTGCTTTGCAGCTTCTGCGTCCATTTATATGGTATCTGAACCACAGGATTTGGGTTCGTCCTCAAAAAAGTAGCTGTGGACTTGAAAGGGGAGATAACCTTTGTCGAGCGACCAGCGATACATCAGGTGAAAACGCTTTGTCAGCGTGAGTGGCGTTTACATCAGGGTCCTTGGATGTACCCCGTCTGGCCCCACCGCGTTGGGGGTGTCTGTCTAGCGCAAGAGCTGGTAGATGTCCACCTCATTGAAGAGCGCGTTGGTCAAGGGCCGTTTGCAGTAGCATCTCGACAAGGTTGGATATGGCGAGGTCACTGGGACAGAATATAGGCCTGCATTATGTGCACTGTAGACCTCAGATACAACTGTCGGTTCACTTATGGGTTTCTCATTTCTGTCTTTCGAGGAGAAGGCCGTTGGCTAGTTTCTTTGGTGGTGCCTCAAGTTATTAGATAGCGCAAATTTATTTTCCCGGGCCTGTTTTCTTTTTGTTCGTGGCTTGTTATCCTGTGCTCCAATGGCGGTTTTCTGGTTTACAACGGTTCCGCATTTCAAGAAAAGCCAGCTCGTCTTTTACAGAAGATATAGAATCCTCTCAGGTAAATTTTTGGTCATCCGACTTAGTGCTGGCCCTTCTGAGGCGAACTCGTAAACTTTATGGAAAATTGTTTTCTATAGCTCCTCTACTAAGGTGGTCCCAGTTTAAATTGCTCAAAGAAGCTAGTCATTTCTGGGGATTCTGCACCGCAGAGTTTCCACATTTCTGGCCCAGCAATAGATTAAATTAAACGTCATCACGCAGTGGTCATTATCCCCCAGCGGAGTTTTATTAACAACTGATTAAAGAAGACTCTTTCGTCGGTTAAAAGTAAATTCAGCAAAGATGGCATTTGGCCTGCGCGGTATCTGGTGGGCACTGCGAACTGTTGAGATCAAGCGTTTTGTTGAACGACTTTGGTGAGCGTCGATCCAAACTGTCCACTAGATCCGATGCACTGGAGTTCCGTTCAGGAGAGCTCTGGGGCGATACAATCACCTACCATTAAGAGACATGTGAAGAGGCAGCTGGAGAAGAAACGGTCAAGGGTTTGTATGGGGAAGTGGTTATCTTCCGATGAACAATAAGAAGAAATCCTTCAGGGGATTCTTGGGCGAAAGCCCTGATCTTGTGCATCAATCCATGGATCCGGTGGACGCGAGGAGAAAGGGTAGATTACGACGATAAGAAGAAAATCGGTTCATGATTCACAACTAACTAAGCCAATGAAAATAGCCGCGTCGTTAGGCCGTCTCCTGGAAGATGAATGAAGCGGTCGAATACAGAACACCGAAGCAACAAACTAACAGATTAATTAACTGATCTGTTGTCGTGGCGCTTGCTGGGCACCTTTTCAAAATGGACTCAGGTCCGGAAAATAAGTTACCGAACGAACAAGATAGTGAGGACAATGTCCAAAGTTTCCACGTAGGTTGATCAATTACGCACGTAAATGAAAGGGTGCTCAACAGCCAGAAACAACGGTAGGGATAAAGGATAACTCAAACACACTCGAACAAAGCGAATTTCATGGAACCACCGAAAAAAGTGAGTTGTGAAATTATCGTGCTTCATTTTTCTTAGCTTCATTCGTACCAGTAGATGCACGTCCACTTGTGGATGCCTCACCCGCCACTTCCGAATCGTCACTGAACAGAGGAAAATCAGAACCTAGTACCATATCAAATGAAGATGCAGAGGAGATAGTCCGAGGTGAATCAAAGGACACTTTTGATGAATACAATTTACTCGCAACGACCCAAACCAGCGATGATGAAGAAGAAAGCTCTGTTTCGAGACGTGCGCAAAACACATCTACAGATGAACAAACTTATCAGCCACAGGTACTCAATTTAGAGAACGGAACAATAAGCGGTACAGCGATTGAGCGTGATCGAACTGGCAGTGAAGCTTCTCTCCAATCAGCTAGCAAGCATGAGGCGAGACAAAGAGCACGAGAGGAGCTTATCGACCAGTACAGGCAGGCGGTTATGGACCACAAGGTGGCGCGGGAAGCGAACCTTCAACTGCAGACCAAACTAGCTGAATACTTCCGTAGAAAAAAAGCCGACGCTGCCGAACAACAAAGTGGAGCATCTAGTATGGGTGGTAGTACGACAGATAATGTAGTAGATTACGAGCAGCGCTACAATAAATACATCTCTAGTTTAACAGAACTCAGGAATCAATATCAGAAAATGCAATCATCTTATCAGAAACAGATTGAGGAGTTGAAAGCTGTATGTGCTGAACGGCAAAAAGAAGTAGACGACGCCTATAGGGACTTCACAAATTACAAATATAACGTCGGGAAGAAGGCGCTGCATGGCCGTACAGGGCGACCGATCAACCCAAAGGACCTGCTTGCCATGTTGAATGCAGAGCAGAAGAAAGAGGCAATTGTGATGGAAGTCCGCCTAGAAAATATAAAACTCCGTAACGAAGTTGCTAAAATGGAGGCAATATTGAAGTCAAAAGAGGAGTTGGCCGAGGGTCTTCATTTAATTGATTTTGAACAGTTGAAAATAGAAAACCAAACCTACAATGAAAAGATAGAAGAAAGAAATGAGGAGCTTGCAAAACTGAAGAGAAAAATTGCAAGTACTGTACAAATTATGACGCACGTAAAGGAAAAACTTCAAGCAGTGCAATATGAGAATGCAAAACAGAGACAACGTTTGGCAATAGCTGACGCCGAGCTGACGTTTAACAGAGATCAGTTAGCTAAACTGAAGAAAGCTCGTGATCGCATCAGAATGGACAATTCTAAGCTCCGTCGTTCTTGCGGGTTGCTAGGCAAAACTGCTTTGCTGCTTAATTATGAAGACTCAGTGGATGCTGTCTTAGAGAAGAAGGCGGCACTTGAAGAGACCAAGAAAATCACAGCACAGTATCAAACACGCACAAAAAGTCTGATTGAAAAGATTGAAGGACGTGCGGAAAACATGGACAGACCTTGATGCATCAAAAAAACACAATCGTAATCGTACATCACAAAGGCAGTCCAAAAACCAAAGACGTTCTTTCGAAGATGCGCACAGCATTAAACCCATGTAGAGAACAGTACTCTGATTTTACCAGTGATAAAAACAGGAACTGTAGTTTGGTGGCGATAAAGAAGTTGTTTATCCGGTGAAAATTTGGTGATTTCTGACATATATTGATTTGGAGATTTTGGAGACTTACTTTAGCTGGTAATCATATGAAATATCCCAAAAATTTGTGCTGTAGTTTCCTCTAAAAGCAATTATCAAAAATAACAGTAGTAATACTGACGCTTCATCCAGCTCAGAAAAACAGAATACCAAACAAGCTTGCATTTTCATAGTAACTATTGCAACGCGCAATCAACATACGTAGACTCAAACCACCTAATTTCAACACAGCCTTATTTAAGTGGGATGATTGGTACATAAAACTGGGTGTGCGTATGCATATAGATGAGAATATTTGTCGTGCGGTCTGTCGCTTCTGGAAAGGGCTGAACTTCAATAGAATGGCTAAAGCTGTTTATGAGCAAAGGTGTTTACCTGTGTTTACCTTTAAGGCGCGTGTGAATCCACTATGCTGCGTCGATGTTTCTAGTATGAGATGCTGAAACCGTCTTTAGTACTTCCTACAGTGACAGGATAGCTCTCACCGGGGGCTCTAATATAGTGAAGTGAATTTGTATAAATGTATCTAAATATATCTACTGTCATTGTCTGAGGAGTTTGGTTGTTGATGACCTGATGGGTCATTCGGCCTCGACTATTTTTCGGGTGCGTGCGCCTGTTGAAATTCCACACATACTGAGTTGTCCGGACAAATGCCCAAGCAATGATTTTTGCAGACCCATGGGGAACAACGGAAGAATAGAAGTGATTATCTACCGTTATAGTTCTGTCTTTGTTTTTCTACAAGAGGTGAATAGAACTGGCCAAGACAGTTGCTTGGCTGACTATGGCTATAACCATGTCAGTCTGTTGTGGCTGTAGAAAGGAGGGCATAGAAAAAATATCAAGACTCTGTAGCTAGCCTAAGACGCTTGCATTCAAGGGTGAAACGAGCCCTCGCAGCAATCTTCCTGTGTAACTGTCGCGCTCATTTCGGGCGGTCAACAACAATGGCATGGGGTACATTTTAATATCATTGGACCAAACTGGGAACTAAACCGATGATTCTGCGACGAAAGGCAGAAAATTTTCAACTAGTTTCACAAACCATAACAAAACAGGTTTTTCCGATTAATAAATATTAAGGAACAATGATTTTGAGTACCGTTTTTAGTAGATTGACAGAATAACATTGAGGTTATAATGTCAGTTATCACCGTCCTAGTGCACCAAACACCGCCACCGTCTTGCTCTTCTGTGCTTGAAAACACATCATTGACGTTTTCTCTAATAGAGTTAGTAAGTGTGTACCAAATATGATTCTAGATGAAGACGGAAAAATAAAACATTACGTTAAAACTGAAGCACTGGTTTGGTGGGTTCCAAAAGCCAACAAATTTTCTTGATGGGAGACTACCTCACAAGTTGTTCGGAATCATATCTGATGGTCAAATGTTTTGGATGCTACTTGAATGCCAAATGCGATCGCATTGCGGGCCGTCTGCTCCTTTTTCTTTCTTCGTACGAAATTTTCAACAATATGTTGCTCCATGGACACTCACAGGGTGGTCAATCTTAGCTGTTCAATTGTGTTAACACCTGATTAAGAGATTTTTTAGGGATTTTCATCACAGGAGTGACGCAGGAAACTGACCGTGTAGCGGAGTAGGTTCATTAGAAAAAGTTAAACCCTTAGCATCATAAGCCACATTAGGTCAGCGCCCCTAGCAAGGCTGACGTAGTAGCATCGAAATGACAGCTTCTAGTCTAGCGGTCCGAGATCGGTAGAGATCAAAATACAAAATGTCGACGTGCGCTCCAATCAAATTATATAAACGCATCTGATAAGTGTGATGGCTGGCAGTGGAGAAGTACGAAGCAGCCATTTTCTGCCAGGAGAAATAGAACAAAGGCCTGGAAAAGACTTAAAATTACTTGACACAAAAACTTAAATGGCACCAGAGCAGAAATGTCAAAGAGCTAAGTTGAAAAATTTGGCGTTATGTGACAAAACACAAAATTACGCGATTATCTGAGGAACAGTTAGAATTTTGACACTAAATACTTCAGAATGTCGGCAGAGTACTTAAATCAATATCAAGGGTTTTCCAGACTATATATTCACTTCATGACAACTAATGGGACAACGTTATCCCTTCAAACGACTGACAATGTTCATATTTCTCGATTTCAGCTGTGTTTTTGACTCAGCTGATCGTCAGAAACTGGGTCAGTGTCTTGCGATGGAGAATGTTCATTCTTATTTCTTGTTTCTGATGAGGGCGCCCTATGCCCCCTTTCTTGAGCGCATATGTGTCTCCTAAGTAAATCAAACCCAGCGGTCTCAAGCAACGATGTCCTCTATTATCATTTCTTTTCAACTGCTTAATTGGTTTGCTGCTTTAATCTCCTCTACCTGCCCTTACCGAATTCCGGGATAAAAATACCGACATTGAATACGCTGACGATATTGTTCTTCTTGGATCAGATCCTCTAGAAATACAAACTACTCTAAATGAACCAAATAATTCTGCTACTAAATTGGCGTGCTTTCTGCACCTGCCAAGTGAAAACTGCTACCGGAGGACTGGGTTGGATCATACCCGAACCCCAAGCTTGCGGGGGAAACAATCGGTGTGGTGGACGAATTGATCTCCCTGAGTAGCTGCATAAGTCCTGGCAGTCTGGCGAAAGACGAAATCACTTCCAGAATTGTGAAGGCCCGGGCAGAATTTGCCAACCCCGGACACCTGATGCACCGACGTGACATCAGCTTGACTGCTAAGGGTAAAGTGCACAATGCCACAGCCCGATCTGTCCTACTACATGGATAAAAAACATGGCCGATACGTCCGTGTTTGACCACAAGTGCTTATGGCGCACTGCATGAGTCCGGTAGAGACACCAGATCAGTAATGCTGAAGTACGTCAAACTGTCTTCGGAAAAGTTCACTCAAACTCGAGAGCTGAACTTGTCACAGTTCGCAGTTTTCGCTGGTTACATCATTTGCTTCCTATGTCAAAGGACCGTTTGCTTTTGTAGAGCCCTCTACCTCAGCTGTGTATCGGATAGAGACCACCCAGGGACAGCCAGCCCATCAACTGGTAACGGAGTGTGAGATCTCTTACCAGTCAACTAAGTCGCGTTAATAAATATCGTCATCCCGAATAGGGACCACGGGACGAGGAAAACGAGTATTTCGTGACCCTGACATGTATCGTAGTGTCACGCAATCACCAGTGGTCTTGCACCAAAGCCATCGCCTTTAATCCGTAGCTCTTGATTTCTACAACACCGGGCGAGCAGAATCATTCGAGATCATTGAAATTGCTGCGCCATAACCTCCTTTATGGAAAACCATGTATTTGGTGAGCGGAGCTGCGGTGGCTGGATCCGCCGCACTCTAATGCATGGTTTATGAGCTGGCAGGCTTACTGACGCTGAGCTAAGATATGATGAGCAGATGGGGAAAGCACTTCAACAAATCACTGAACCATCAAATGGATATTCTTTGAACTGATAGAAATACTAAACGCGTTTTCATTCACCGGATGATAATTGAATAGGAAATCGTTATGGGACTATTGGTGGAGATAATTTTGCGGCACAGAACTTTGTCCGATAGCTCTACTTTTGCAGAATATAACCCCTGGATTGGTTGATGTGCCCAAACTCTCTCCGAAGACTGCAGAGACGTCAGCTTTCTTAGGTTTGCTGTTGAGCTCTTGTTAATAGGTTTGCTTAACGGCTCAACTTTTTAGCTTACCAAGCAGACGCTGCAAAATAACGGTGGTTTTCGTGCGTTAAAAGTACCATGAGGTTTACTGCAAGAAGCCTCAAGAAATTCCGGCGGAAATCTGCAGCTTGCATGCTCTCATTTCATGGGCTTTACGGAGCGTTTTTACTGTGTTAAACAAGAACTATGGGCAGTTCTTGATAACTACAGCTGTCCACCTTTTTTTCGAAGGCTACATGTCGTATTAAAAACAAAAGCACAGAACAATCGGTGTAAAAAAGATTATGTACTCACTACACATTCCATCCATTCCCTAACCGGTAGTCACTTGAGAAACAGCTTTTGCAACTGACTATAATAGGCTGCAGTATGACAATAGGTATTCATCAGGCATCTTGGCGCAATAAGTCTGTCTCGACAGAAAAGTTGGAATTCGGATGTTTGCGGACGAATATGTGTGTTTGGTGCATATACATTTGGAACTGCAATGTCAAGATGAAAATCTACCTGTGCTACTACATCGTGAATGACGAGGCTTTCAGTATATGTCATCCTGTTCAAGTTGAGATCTACAGCACAATGGAAACAAAACTTATGACTCAGCGTAAAAAGTTAGGCCAACTCGATAGTACACTGTCCGTTGTCTTGAATGCGGCTCGAAAGTTGAGGTTTCTTGTTGACAGGGTCATTATGCTTTTCGAAAAACAAAAGTCCAAAACATGCCTCCTGAGACAAAACCTGTGTGTTCATAAGGCAATAGTTTTCCTAGCATGCTAGTTGGAATTTAACCAACCGTTTAAAGTCGTAAATTGGTGCTTGGAGGGCCTAAAGCAGATTCTTGTAGTTAGCTGTTTCGAGCAACTGCCAGTAACTGAATTTCCTTGTGTTGTGCATTTTGGAGTAGATGGAAGGATGATCAGGGGGATGTTTATTGAGTAAATTGGAAAACAATTCCAAAATAGCCTCCATACGGTCAGCTGGAACCTAAAGACTGGAGTAATGGTAGAAATAAGCACCGAAATTGGGAGAACTGAATGGAAACTATGAAAACCCGCAACATGAATCTGCTGAGGAGAATAGCGCAAGAATAGAACGGAAAATCATGGTAGGAAGTGATACTACGTAGTA